ATCCAGGAGGGCTCTAACAGGGCGCCCCTTCTAACTAGGCTTCGTCCTCGAAGCTTAGTAGTAATAAACGTACTACGTTATCTCCCTACGGTAATATTACCCTTTATTATGGCGGTATCGATACGTTCGTAGAGATACCGACCATTTATCCAGGTATAAGTCCCGTACATAAAATAATAATTATTACCCGGCCCTACATCGGCGACCTCTAGGCCGTCGCTACCTCCTCCGGCCGTTAAATAGTCAGTACCCCTACTTTTCTTCACTAATATTAACTCTATTATTATTATATAGGTCTTTTAATTCTTTTTCCTCTTCTCATCTAGTTATAATTACTTGATTTATAAATTATTAATTAGTTTTATTAGCACATTCGTTATTCCCTCGTTACATTATCCCTATTTATTAATAAGTTTTCTAAATCTTCTCTACTCTAGTTCCATAATATACATCCTTAGTAAACTAGTAACGTCGCTATTATCTCCGGGGGTACTATCATTGGCGGCTCGGGCGCGTAGCCCCCGAACGGCGGCGGTGATCCGCCTAAGAAGACGCCCTATTCACGTCCCGAGGTATATGCTCTGTCGGTGCTCTGCTGGTGCTCTTACTGATCATATCAGACTCCTAAGAAGAAGTACAGTAAGAATAAGAAGCTCGTCAAGGCTAGCTCCCGTCGTTAGGTCCCCTGCCCCTCGTACGTCGCGCGCAAGTGTTACGAGCAGGACCCAGGGCAGGCGCCAGCCAGCCCATGATACCTGCCCATTGCTCCTTATCAGCCTTGCCGTTCCGACAATAACCCTTTGGTCAACTAGAAAACGCTCCCAAAAAGCCCTCTACAGTCTCGAAAGTCGCATCACTGCCATTGAGTTTTCGGCAAAGCCAGATCTGCTGGCATTGGCGGACAAAGCTCAAACTGTACGGATCTGGTCGATCATTTCAGGGCTGTGTACACAAATCATTGATATGGGATATAGCCTCACCAGCCTATCCTTCTCTCCCGACGATGTACACTTGAGGACACCTTTCGGGGATATTTCCATCGGCAAGCGTCCCGTTACAGCCCGAGTAGTCAATCTGACCTCAGGGGATGGGCAACTTGAAAACGCGTCTATTGTACCGCAAAATTCACGTTGGCAAGGCTACGGATTGGATGTGGGTGGTAAATGGATCAATTGGAATGGCGCCAATATCGTGTTACTGCCGGCTGATATCGACCCTTCATCGAATTTGAAACGTCCTCGCTGGGATGACAATGAAAGGCGATATCAAGTGGCCGCTGGCGACTTTGTTGTTGCATGGGTCGGTCCCACTGGCGAGCTCTACACCTTGGGGTTTTCAAGAAATATCAAGCCCTTTGACAAAGCCGTCCGTCCTGAAGACTGTTCCTGATAAGTTTCATGCAGCTAGTCAATTCTTAGTTTGGCCTTTTCTCTGTCCTCCCATGTTGCGAATTCTTTGGCCTCAGAACATCGGAATAATTCAATCTAGTCTCCAAAACTGGCCATATGGTCAATTGCGACTCACATGTAGCTCATATTACTCATCCCATCAGACTGAGCGTGTCACTCGACCCTTTTCCCTAATTTCCAACCAGGCTTCTTTGATCATATACCTGGAAGGAAGTTCCGTAGAACACCACCTGCATTGATGACTATACGGGTCTCAATATCCTGCTCTGCGGAACGCTTCATCCAGCTTCAACTCAAGAACCTGCCGCTGAGCCTGAACACTCGCCGTGATCCGCGCATTCTCCTCCTCTCCAGCCCTTTTCTTCTCAGCGACATCACCCTCACCGATATTCTCCACCCCATCAGCCATCATATCATCAGCCTCCGAAGCCGAAGTCGAAGCCATGGGGGCCATCCGCATCCTCGCCATCCTCATCGAAGAAGAGGGCGCAGCCGTACTCGGAAGGAATCCCGGAGCAACGTACTTCTTCGACTTCCCGGCCGATGCAATCAAAGTAGACAGCACCGCGGCGCCAATGTCTAGGACATTGTCCGCCTTGAACGTGTCAGGGTCGTTGAGGAGTTGCAGCCCAATCCCAAAGGCCACCGACAAAAGGGGTCCAGCCCCAGGAATAAAGCCGAGTCCGAGCTGAACCACGTGCGTGACCAGGTCTAGGATGAAAGAAGAGTACTTGTACGGACGCCAGCCAACTTCAACCCCAAACGTCGCGCTGATGATGTTGGCCAGATCAATCTCGCGATGGAAGCCTTCCGCAGCCAAATTATCGTTGGACCTCCAGTTGAGCCCCGCGTACGCAACGAGGAACAGCGCATCGGTCTTGGTCTTTGCATTATACACGCCGTACTCGGGATTGCGCACCTTGTGAGGGATAGTCAGGTAGGTTACCAGGTCCGGGACCTTGAAGAGCCATGTCAGGCCCCGATCAAGGCCGAGACCTGCCTCACGGGTAGACGGGTAGGTCCTTGGCTCTCCTGCGGTGTTGAAGCAGTTGATCGTGTCGCGGGCCTTGAAGTCGATGACGACGTAAGTGCAATACTGCTTGTAAGCTTCGTCGGTCTGCTGGCAGACGGGGAAGTAGATTGCCCGGATCGGAATCGTGGCACTAGGGGTTGTCACGGTCAGCACCTCGCGCATAGCCGGCTGAGCGGGCAACACTTACTCGATCCATAGCCACTGCGTGTCTTTGTTGCGAATCCTGACGGGACGCAGGATGTACTTTCTCGGTCCACCCTTGTCGCGGTCACGCATCTCGTTCCAGTTCAGACTGTTTGGGTGGCTGGTGATGGCGAGCATGCTACCGGGATCCGTGGTCTTGCTCTCGCCGACAAAGAATCTGTCCCATTGTACGAAGCGGGTGTTGTAGAGGTTGGCATACCCGCCCTCGATTCGAGATCGCGGGTGTGTCGGCGCGACGTTTCCGCTGCCGACCCAGCCGTTCCACTGGATGGAATGGGTGAACTACCTGATGCTTAAAGTTGAGGCATGAGAAGGAGGGCCATACCTGGTATTCTATGAGGACGTGGCTGTAGAACTGCTCCGCATTGTCTGCAGACCAGTTGTTACCGTATTTCAGGGACGACCTGACGAAGAAGCATTCGCCTTCGGGAAAGTAGGAGGCCATTGTGTTGGATGATTAAGTTGAAAATCGATGATGAAAGGATATGATAGCGCTGAGAGGACAAAGCTTGAGTTGGAGACAACGGGAAAGTCAGTTGAAGGGCCAGAAGAAGAGAGCTTTTATGTTAATTTAGGACTCTAAGTTCGCTCTGGACAATTTCGCGCAGTCTCACAATATCTAGTTACCACTCAGGTAAGTAGTACTCCGAAACTAGTGTACATTCCCGCCGACAGCTGTCGGATGCACCCTGATGCCACTGTGATGCTATGGCGGAGAGAGTGAGAGGGTGTCAATGATCGAGAGCAGAGCTCGGTGAATGTCTAAATGGCTTGAAAACCCAGATCTTGTGATATGCAGTCCATAGATCCTATGAAGCTCAATCCGGTAGGCAACAAGTGTGACGATCATAGTGGGCTGCGTCGATCGCAACGGGACGAGCCGCCCGGAAAATGTCACAGCAAGGCGGGGTTCGCATAGGAACGTTTCCCGTTGGGCGTGGCCTGCATCTGTCGAGCTGTAGTGGTATGCAGTGTGCAAATCGGTTGATATCTGTGTTGCTGGGCTTCACGGCCCGGTACTGCTACCCCGACTTCATCCCGCATCGGCGTAGCAGGATCATGTCGTCCCGCGTCAGACCGGTCCGATGAGTGCCTGCACAGCGTTGTACATGTCCAAATCAAGCCGTCCACATCATGTAGCGCTCCGGCCCATCATGCGGCCGTCGCTTGAGAATACGAGGAGTCAAGATTTGCCTAGTGGTTTACCCCTCCGTGGGCAAGAGTATGCAGAATTGAGGATGGTATACGTAAACGAATACTTCTTCGTCTGTCCTAAAACCAGAAGAAAAGTCACTCATAGCAAGAATGGAAAGTTCATATTAGAGGCGTGCAACGGCGTGAGTGAGGTACTGAAAGCCGCTACGGATCACTAAAAGTGAAGATGATAGCATTAGCCCATCTCCATCCTCCAAGGAGCGGAATGTGATATTCATCTAGGAGCCATGTTATCCAAAACACGCGTCAGCGAAGCAATGTTCAAGCACCTCAATCAATCCATGATGGGTACCAAACTGACGCCCTGCGAACGGACCTCTCTCTCGACAGACCATGAGTATGCCCGATCTGGAAGTTCAGCATGATTGACATCACAGACCGGGCGGAGCCGACATCAGATGGCCCAGTTCAGTCGTGCATATGCCAAAGTTTGGCAAAACTTCGGATGGTTCGCAGATCACAAGCAACGACAAGCCCCCTGGCCGAAAACTGGGCAAACGCTACGAACTTCGCATCGGAAGCTCCCATGCAACGATACCTCCGCCCGCAGACCATAACCTTAGCGATTCCAGTACTGCTGGCTGAGACCGACGTGATGTAGGGCGGAACTCTGGGACAATGACAAGACTGATTAAGTCCCCCGCGATCATGAGCTTCCCATTCAACATGTCGAGAAGGTTGGCTTAACATGTTTGTATTATGCTGGGCTAGCCAGCATTACGGATGCCTGGTGACCATCTCTCGAAAGACAAGAATCCTCCCATGGGTTGGTGGGCTGGAGCCTCACCAAGCCCTGTATGCAAGTTACCTCCCCACAACCAGCTCTCTCCTCCAAGGCTGTCAAGCAGTATAGTTGAACCTTGACCACTTGTGCCGAGGCTATGCCCTCTGCTCATTCGACCCTTCCAGTCGTTTGCCGCGTTCCCCGAAGTGCAGGCTGCGGGTCCGAGTGACGTGAAACATCGGAAACCATGACTTCGTGACGTATCCGACCCTTTCAGCGAAGAAAAATAACAGTATCGAAGATGCAGTGCCATGCTCGCAAATGTGGCTGACGAAAATCAGGTCCTCGGGGGACTTATGTACAATCCCCTCACCCGACGAGCAGAAGAAAGTTTCCAATCCGACATATGCCGAAACCCATAATAATTGTTGACGAATTCTTTCATTCATGTAAAAGTGCAGCTAAAGTGCGGTATTTGAATCCGAAGGGGTCCCTATCACGGGACGACCTGGGATGACTACCGGCGCTCTGGCTCGAAAGGGTTCTCGGCTCGCTGGTGAGGCTGGCGCTCGGCTTCGAAGGGGTTGTCGTTTCCGGGTTGGTTATTTTGGCCATGCGGCTGCCAGGCACGCGGGGGCTTGCCCATGGTCGAGTGATCGTAGACATCGCCGTCGATCTCGAGGTCGATGTCGTCCTCCTTGCGCTCTTGCTTTTGTCTTCTCATGTGCAACACAGTCAAGACACCAAGGGTACCGCAGATGAGCACAGCACTGGAAAAGCATTCATGTTAGTTTTGGCTGAACGATGAATGCCAAGGTAGGCCATGGGGCAAATGGGCGAGATGCGAATGCAAACAAGACTCGTAGGGAATCCAGGTAGGGCAGAATGCGGGACTGTTCGGATAGACCTACGCAGTAACGCCGATGGTGATGCCGATAATTTTGGAGGACTGGAAGGGCTTTTCGCAGCGAGAGCTGTTGTCGCCATCCGCGCAGTCATCGCGCGCAGCGAGGTAGTGCACGGCGCGGGCGACGGGTGCCAGGAGGCTCGAGGCGGTTGTTGAAGAACTCATGATGCGACAGAGGAGGGATCGGATTATTGTGGATATGATGTAACGGTTCGTTAGTGGGTTGGATTATCGTTTGTATCCACGATGGATTTCCCTCGATTTCCGATAGAATCGCAGAGTTCGTCACGTCGCGTCAAGTACGGTAGACTTCTCCCTTTCGTATTTAATTCCCTGACTTGAGCTGTCTGCGTCTTGTCGCGACTATCGCAATGCTCGTCCTCGAATTCTTATCGTTCGGTTGCGGCGAGCGGGTTGCGGCGAGCGGGTTGCGGCTGGCTCGTCTGTAATGAGTGGATTCGCCCCTGTGTCGCTTGTGTGAAACCGGATTCGGAGCCCCTGTTATCGCTTTCTCTAGTTGCCAACGGTTTTTTATGCAAGGAGTGACTGTAGTGAAGAGAGAAAACAGTTTGTGAATAGAGACACAAAAAAAGTGGTCGATGCCAAGAGGAGATGCAGGAAGGAAGGATGGAACAAAAGAGTGAATAACCGGAAGGTTTGCGTTTGTTGGAGAGGGAAAACAGGAAGGGGGCGGCGAGGAGGGAAAGAGCGCGAGATTGAGGCGGGCAGGGACGGGAAAGCAACCTGGAAGGAATGGAAGGAACTGATGGAATTTGGGAAGGGACCCGACACCTTGAAAACACGGGGAAAGTGGAGGGAAGAAAGGTGAGGCAACCTGCCTACCTATTCAGGGGAGGGGCGGCCGGCCGTCTCAGGGTCCAGGGGGAAAAGAGGCAGGCACCACCGCACGTACGCCCGACGCAGGTACGACAGGAGCAGGCGCAGGAACAGGAAGGAACCCGTAACCCCTCCTCCCTCATTCGACAACAACGTGCCTGCGTCAAATGTCTCTATTTTCAACCATTCCTTCCATACCATCCCCCATCAGGAACGCATTCGATCCATCAGTTGATTTAGCGGCTGCGCATTCTGCATATTCTGCATTTGCGAGGAAAGACATGGTTCCAAACTGGGGGAAGAATGTGGCTGTGTCTCACTCAGCTTCGTTTTCAATGAGGCCGAGAGTGCCGAAATTGGCCGTCGTGATTGGCTCATTGAACCCCCCCCTAAAAAGGCCTCCCCTTAAAACGGTCCTAACAAACACGATCCGAGTCAACCGAATACGGCCAATGGACAGCCAACACGGGCGACAATACTGCCGCAGTCAGTCGCCTCGACTCTGGCTTTGCCTCCCTACAAACTGCATGACCCAAACGCATTACTGATGACACTGCCAAAGAAGGGTTCGAGAGGGGCTTTTGGAGTCTTTCGTGGGCTATCGTGGGCATCGCCAATTGATAGAGTGGGAGCCTCGGGATTAGAGTGGCTGCCAAAGAATTGGTCTTGCGGGGAAATGCTTGTCTCGTGTTTCACATTCCAAACTCCCTGTTCGCTGTGTCCGGTGAGAAATTGGCATGTCATCCCCTTCTTTCGAGGTCGGGTGACACTGTGGCAGACAAGACTGTTGCGTTGCGCGCGCGACGGCCCTCGAATTTGATGGGTTTGGCAGCGTGAACTCTGCGAGGGCGTTCATCCCGCCATAGTGTAGAAGACTCGGCATAACATTGATGACTGAGCACCCGGGCAATCAACAGCTCTCTATTAAAGTTCATGACGACAGCGACGTCAATTGACATTTTTCTTTACACCAGACGTTTTCCTCTGCTACCTACTTCTCAACCCGGAACCGCGGCACAATCTTAATCTCCCTTTCCCCTCTGCCGTCCCCCCCTCACCGAGGCAGCGGCAGCGACTCAGCGACCGCCTACTAACAACCACGTCTTGTGACATGCTTCAGACAACTCACCGCATGAATTGTAACGAGTTATCCCGGCGATATGGCCGACGGGAAGAGCCAACCGACGCACCTTTCATTTCGCCTAATGAGCCTTGTGGTGCTCGAGCTTCCACTCAGATCCCATGCGTGACCGCCGACCAGAGGGACGCACTGACCAGGGAAAAGCAAGACAGACCATTGGAAGTTTGTTAATAATAGAACCAACCCTGAGACAGCGCCCCGCCAGGGTTTTCTCCCCGTGTCCCTTTTTTTGGAATGCCCTCGCCTACTGCCGAGGTGCCGCTGGCGTTGGAAAATCCCCCGACTCAATTTATCTGTGGAGGGACCCTGACTTGTCGGAAGCCTTGCGGGATACCGAATAATTGAGATCACCAGGACCGCAGACACGGATACGAGCGACGACGGGCAGTTCGTCGGCCACCTTACTTAAGCTACTTTTGCGTGATTATCGCTCCGCGCGATGTGAGATTGGCCGATGCGACTGGAATTTATCTGCACGACAATGGATCATTGAACCGCATTCTTGGGATTTCTCCGTCGGAATGCAGTCCCTATTGCCGTTGGGCCCAGAACGATCGAGCCGGCGGACTCGGAAAGCATTTTCGGCCCGAGAAGGGCTGGTGGACGGATATGAAGATGTGCGATTGCGCCTCCGATAAGGCCACGAGGCCGCACGGGGTGACATCCGAGTGATGGATTCTCTGAGAGGCGGAAGATTTCTCCGAAGCGGGTCTTCGCTATATATTCGGTTGCCGGCTCCGTCTCCGATGTCTCGAGTTTCGCCACCCGATCATCCCGTGTTTTATGGGTCTCGAGGCCGGTCACGGGAAGAGATGTCGAAAGCTTCCGGAAGACTCACGGGACATGATCCTGCAAAACAACCAATCACGCCTCCTCAAGACCGTTATCAGAGTTCAATATCTTGGCTAACTTAGCTTCCAGGCGCAGGAGCAAAGACTTCCCTTCCCCAAACGCCTAGAAACGTCCGAGCTGGAGCGTGCAGAAGACAGCCTTGCGGTTCCTGGCCTCACCAAAAGACAAGAAGTGATGATCAGATGGATCCGCAACACGTCACACGGACGGTAGTCAAGTAGGTAGGGCTTTTGCTGAGGCAAAGTTGAGACGACGAGAACGCTACATTCACGGCGGAACCGCTTTCCTCGTTGGGAGTTGCGTCTCAACACACAGAGACATATCAGTCCCGTTCGCTATGGACTCGAAGACCAAGACTTTTGCCACTTTTGCGAAAGGCCATGTGCGGTCCAAGCACCGAATAACGAGTTCATCGTCAATTGTTTCGTTTCAATTAACGAGAGCCAAGGCCAAGGAGGAGAACACTTGACTCGGTGGAAACTTCGAAATTCGGAATTCCAGATTTGCCATTTTACCATTTCTCATCGAGCATACGAATACCTCGGCATAGAGCACAGGATTCCCATCAAGAATGGGCATCCTCCGATACCCCATCTTCCGCTGTTCGCCGTTCTCCATAGACATGCAGCTTTGCGCTCCATGTAGCTCTCCGCTAGCTAGTGGACATTACCCATGTTCTTTGTGATAGCTAGCGGCGGCAGCGGCTCTTCCCTCGTTCACCACCGCGGCTAAGCTAGTAAGGTAAGCATACTGGATCACAAAGGAAGGAAAAGAAAAAATTGTTTCACTGGGACGACTGGTACTTACTCTCACGCCTTTTCCATCTTTGTCTGTGCATTCCGACGCCATTATGTAAGAGATTCTTATGGCCCGTCAAGCTAGACAGGTGTGAGTGCGGCAGGCATGCAAAATGTTCTAGACTCTCCAAAAGCTTTTTGCTGGTAAGCGAGAATGGGGCGGGATGGAGAAAGCACGATGCGGAGCGGCGGCGGGTGGAGGAGGCTCTTTGGAGACTTTTGGGACGTTGGTGAGGATGATTGAGATTGGGCGGCCAAGGCGGGCCAGACTGGGTCTGGAGATTAGACAGCGAAGCTGAATAAATCCATTTGAAGACAGCCAAGAAAATGAGGCGTCATCGCTAGGGATGACAACATTTTCGGCAAACGAGGTTGTGCTGCGTTTCTCGTGGTTGGCTCTGTCTGGGACATCTCCGAGGGAGAAGGGGACTGGAGCAGTGAGAGAGAGGTTGAAGTCATGGCTAGAGCACCGAGAGCTTCAGCCGCCGGGCGACGCCGTGGCGGGGCAGTAGGAGCTCAGAGCTGTGCTGGGAACTGGGACCTGATCGATCCGCGGGGAACGGGCCACCAAAGGGATTGTCGATTTTGTCCTTTTTCAATGAGGGGGTTTCGTCCTATTCGCAACTTACACTTGTCGACGATGCCTGCGATCAGCCCTTGGCATGAAGCGTGATTATGACGATGTCTCCTTTATTACCCCTCACCTCTCTGGATTAAAGTGTATTTGGTGTAGTCGACCGTCCCAAAGAAATGTCCACGTGAACAGCGCTCATGTGACGCGACGTCTCATCCCGCGGAGATACAATCATCGAAAGGGCGCGAGTTCATGCCATATTGATCTTGCGGCACAACTGCCACCACTACACCAATGAAAGCCATGAACCTGCGATGCTCGATGGTGTGGACAAAATAGATGCATGTAGTTGAGGCTGGCCGTCTAGCGATCTCCCGCCTCAGTTTTAGTAGAATGCGGGGGTGGAAAGGTTGTGTTGGAAAAGGAGAACCTGGGGAAACATGAAATAGTTTGCTCGCGATAAGGATCTCGAGGTTGAGTGGTTAAAGGGGTCTTGGTCCCGTCCGCGCGGGGTTTCACTTGGATCTTGCTGCACCCGGTGCCATGCCGGGGAAGATGAAAGAGGCCAAGCGTTATCAGCCTCGTAACGTGTTGATATCAATCGATTATCTCTTTGCTTCGAGCCTGATGCTTGTGTTCGTGACCGCTTGTTTCTGTTTCCTCTGCCCGGGGCTCAGTGACGTGAGTAGGGGCAAACACGAGATGTTGTTGTCTGATGATTGCTTAGAGTTGACGAATGGCTGGTTAGCCGTGGCCTCGTTTTCTCCTTGCGATTTGGGATGGACTGAGCGTCCAGGCCCAATGTCCCGATTCAGTATCTATCTACAAAATGCGAAGACAAAGAATGATCTGAGAGCAAAACGACGAACTCTTGGCTTGAGAACTCGAGCTCGGATTTTGCCCTGTCTCGAGGGTTGCACGTCCAAAGGAGCAATGAACATTGAAGCAACACGTGTGTATATGGGCACAGGTATGAACCTTGCTGTAGATTTTGACTTGCCGCGCCCGCCCGTTGGCGTGTTTGACGACGGGCTTGGGTGACGCTCAAGTCAGCTCATTTAAGATTTTCTAGAAATCCCAACTGACAAGTTCAGACTTGCGCTTGCCGCATGTTTCGAGAAGCATGGCTGCCCTGTCTTTCACCGTTGCCGTTGGCTGTTGCCGTCCCTACTTGTAGAAATCATGGGACGAATGACTCTCCAAGGATCCTGTGAGCCTGCGAGGAGCTTTTTACCCTTGGGGATGCATGTGGCTTTGG